GAAGCCCGACGGGGTGTGATGTAACACGTGTCGGTCGTCAAGCGAATCGATTCGACGATATATAGCCGAGTGTATTCCTTGAAAAAGGCCAGACTTAATCATCGAGAAAACTTCTAAGGATTCTTCTAATCCTCGAGAACCATCCTTTTAAAGTGAGCTAAGACGTACCTCGAATCTGAACCGCGTGTATTTAATCTTGACTCTGCACACGCATACCGTCAGTAGAGGAAATTTTTATTTGCTGAAGATAGAAAAAAAGAGATTCACGAATTATAAGCTTAATTTAGAATAATACCGTATGCTCAAAAAATTTTTGCAAATATTTTTATATTCTATAATAATTGTTTAAAATTTTCTTTCGTTAATTATACATATTTATCATATATCTCTCAATATTGTTTTAGTATTTTGGACTTTGAATTTTTACTTTGTTCTCGATTGCCTTATCATATCGGTTATTCTATTATGAGACGAATGCATTTGTATTTTATTTAGTTCTCCAGTAAGAAGATAGACTCTATCCACGATAAAGGGATGGAAATAGCACTCGCGATATAAAAAAAAAAAGAAATAAACGCGTTCGACAATCTAAGAGACGCTCGAGGGTAGATCGCATTTATCGCTTATCGCGCTTATGCCCCATAAACGTTTTCTTTAAAGGTTCATGTCTACGGGAAAACCTTGCACTCGCGAAGAAATTCGTGACACGCAATGTCGCGTTTCGTTTCATACGTCTCAACTTATGGTCCAGATAAAACCCGAGACGTTTCGAAATTACATTAAACTTATTTTACATATCTTGAAATTTTACAAAATTGAGTATTTACATAAAATTATGTTAAGTGTGGTGAAAGATATAAAAGAGGTACGATGCAATTTTATAATAAGATGGATGAGAAAAATAAAATTTTATCAATTGACTGCATGATGAAAATTAAGTAGATTAAGAAATATCAAAATTTTTAGACTTTTTGATCAAAGTTAAATTTTCGAAAATCTTTATAGATTTTTTTTTTTTTTTTTTTTTAATCCTTAAATTATACTTCGAATCATGTTGGATAAGCAATTTTTCATATCTGAAATATAATTTCACATTGACATATGTATGATGTAGTATGCGCGATAAATAAATAAAAAGGAATAACAGAAAAGAATGAAGAAAAAAGCTTTTACGGTTGGCGTACGGTACATTGCAAACTTCTAAAGTGGTTCTCATGTATCGACATTTACATATGATTTTATTCACGAGTGCTATATATTATGCGTGTGTGCAATTTTTCAATATTTTCTTTGAATAATATATATTTTTCATATTTATGCACTATGTAAAGATTTAGAAAACTGTATCAAACACCTTCACTAAACGTGTTAAACATTAAAATTATAATAATATAAAAATGTCTATATTTATTAAGCTGTAGTTAACGCAAAATTGGAAATACAAACAAAAGATTAATATATATTGTTGCAAAAATGCATATATCATTAAATCAAATCAAAATTTTTATTTAAATTTGTGAGTTTTATGATTTCAAACTTAATTTAGACACATACATAGTTAATAAATAAAAAATCCAACTTGATAAAACGATGATAAGTTTGAAACTGATAACCGCTGAAGTTAATCTTGGTCTGTCAATTGCGTTCGCGATATACGCGTGTGTGTGTGTGTGTATGCACGTAGCCGTGCATGCTTCGTGAAATGCAATGTCTTTCGCGTTGCACCGTTGTAGCGCAACGTGGTCCCTCCGTACTCAGATGCGCTCTCGAACGGGAGAAACAAAGGGAGAGAAACCGAGGGGGTCCCAAGAAGACTGTACCGGGAGTATATGAGCTTCGTACAAAGTACAAGTACGAGTTTGCACACGCGAGAGACTGCGAGAGGACGCGCGCGAGCTGCAGCTCTGCAAACGTTGTAATTATTTCTGAACGCCATCAGTATTAACGCGAGACGGTTTAAATTATTGTAAAAATCTTCAACGTTGCGTGTGAATTAATTCTAAGGTATATTTTTGTGTTTCTAAATATTGGTTAATTGCCAATAACGAACTTTGCAAAATATATAAAAGTTTCCGTTTTATTCGTCATTTTCAGGGCTTTAAAAAAATTAAAAGTTTTGTTTTTAATTCCTTTATCTGTGGAAATTACTTATCTTTTCATTACGAGTCTTAGAAAGTAGTATATAACGATATTTTGAATTTTATTGTAATTTTTTTGTTAAATACTATATATTATATTTTTTTATATATGATTTCACTATTTAACATAATTTGAATTTTTATATTTATTGCTCTTAACAGCCTTTTACCAAATTTACTATATATTTACTTTGTTTTGTTAAATAATACAAGTTATACAAATTATAGAAAAAATCACTGAAATGAATTAATCATGGAAAATGATATTTTCATATAATTATTAATTGATGACACGCTTATTATATCGATCATGGGAACAAATCAGGTGCACCCATCCCTCTTTGCATTCCCACATGACCGATATTGTCTTATCTCGAACGGAAGAAGCAATGAAAGGATAGCGAAGGGGAGACCTGAACATTAGTATCAGTGAAGTGAGTGAATGAGTGCAGTCACGAATTCTCTCGCAAGAAATTCTCCACACAAGACTGACATTTACAAAAGGTATCGTTTTTAGAGATCAAGACGTGTCTATTTAGAATCCTGTCGCAAGAAGTTTATCAGTGAGAGAATATTTTCCTAAACAAAAAAATTCTCTACAAAATTTATCATGGAAATTGAACATGCTGCCAATTAATATACTTTTGCAAACAATTCTTGATAAATATAATATATATTCTGTTGATGAAAATTTTCTTGTAAAAAAACCGTTGATAATAATAGAGTTACATCTTTCTACATTTTTGTAAGAAATTCTTTGTAAAAATCTATCATTCTGACGAGTAAAAAATCCTCTCCGACAGAAAATGTTTCATATATAATATAGAATCACTTAAATTCAACTCTTTTTTTGATCGACAAAATGTTAGCGAATCGTCTCTGATTCTACCTGTCATGTAACTTGGAAAATTCGCAATACACGATTGTCATTAATATCACGACAAATCGATCGATATCGTACGACTCGCACGATGAATCATTCTTGTGACAGGCGAGCGAATGCCCGGTCACGTTTTAACTCCCCTAAACTGTCCATCTCTTTTCCTCTTCCATTGTGCACTGAATAAAAAAAAGGAATCGAATTTATTGCGACACCCCGTGACTGGCGGTTTTCGATAGGGTCGCTCCGAACATAAATTCGATCTTTATTCAATACTGACGAAACCTCTGATATCTTTGCCTAATATCCGGAATAGCTCTCTAGCTTTATCTCCATAGATTATAAACATTTTCTGAATACCTATATAGTTGTGATCTTTTTCGAAAAATAATATAATTGCAGAATTGTATGTGTTTATTTAACACTTTAATATAGTAAAAGTTGATAATATTTATATATATGTAAAATTTCTAGAGACGTACATATATAATTATTTTTTTTTAAACTCTCTTTTTTATTTAATTGAATTATCTCTCTTTTGAAAGAGCTACTTTAGTTTCATTTTGAGTCGAATAAAAATTAATTTAATTACGCACACACACGTATAAATGCAGGAAAGATTTCTGTCGTCGCTGAAAACATTGTTAAACAATTAAAGCAACAAGCAATGAATCAATAAAGCAAGGCAGATTATATATCGCATTAAGTACGATAAAAGGTCACGTCGGTCATCGTAAAATTTCTGCATCGTCGAGCTCTTTCATTATTCGTCTTGTGTCAACCACATTTGTGTCACACTCGCAGGGACAATTGAGACGAGAATTAGGTAGCCGTAAATCACTGCAAATCGCTCTCAAGCGGGTCAATGAAGAAGAGCGATAACGATTGCGAAATCCATACATGATTTCGAAACAACGTATCGCCGAAGAGTTAAAAATCTACAATTTTTGTTTCTTTCAAGTTCTAGCTTCGTAAATTCAATATTTATTATCCAAAGAAAGTAACTGATCACAAAGAATATAAAAAAAGAAAATATTATTTACAGAAGAAATAATTAAAAAATAAATTGAAAATTATTATTCATGTAACTGTTTGAATTATAAGAAATTAATCTCGATTCTCTTTAATTTCTATAATTTTATAAGTTTTTCAATTTTATTGATGAAATTGCTATCTGCATATCGTTACACGTAACAAGAGGATTCAATGAAAAAATTTATAAAATTTTTCTCATGGATAAGGGCCACTTTGTACGGATTTGAAAATCATTAATCTCGCATGCGAAGCGACTCGTATATAGTCTCGATAATTAATCACGGTTATTTACGGCTTTGAAATCTCGTTCTCTCGCTCGCGAGTTTGCATGCCGACGCGGATTGTTTGACAGAAACAACGTCTACGATTACTCTGGAAGAGCGGATCGGGTGGTACAGTACGATATAGGGGATTAATCTTCTCGCTCTCGGTAAACACGGGCGGTTTATTTTGTCTACGATGCTTCGTGTGCTAGCGTTAGCTGCATTACGCGTATGCACGGTGCATATGCACATGCAGCGAGTCAGAATCACAACCATGCGGCTGTGCGCGCTTAATGATGCGGCCGATCATCGTTAAATTGAGACGACCAATAACAGAGTGCCTCGTGGTGTCTGAATGGAAAATTCACAGTCGTAATTCATTGTTATTAGAGACTCAGTAATGGGAAAATTAATTAGAAATTAATTACAAATTATAAATTAATTATAAATGATTTGAATCTCCCTCTGATGCTATTTTTGAAAGAAAATTTTAAAAAGTAATCGTTAAAATTTAGATTATTTGTGAAACATCTTTAAAAAACATGTCTTCAACAAATTATACTTTGCATATTGCAATTGATGTATTGCAAGACCTATATTATTGTGCGCATATAAATTATTAGATTATTTAATTGCAAAAAATATATTCCGATGTTAATAATTCTTTATATTTCTTTGTTTTAGTAGGTCTGAAACACGGGAACGGCGGCGTGGGCAGCGCGAGCAGTTCTAGGAGCACTAGTCCGAGTCAGCAGCAATCATCCCAAGGCGGTCTTTCATTCATTCCGCAACCTAGGAGTCAGAACACGAGTCGACAACCAGCGGCCACTACACCGAGGTAAGTACATCGAAAAAATTGATATTTTTTTTTGCAATCATGCGATTATTAATCAACATCAAACTTTATTATGTGTAAAAAATTATTTAGAAGTTTCTCTTTAGGCAAAAATGTACTTTTTCTTATTACAAAGATTGTTGTTTATTGCAAAATTATTATCACATTATAATATATTAGAATTTTTAATTTATATGTTTTAATTAGAAAAAGAAACATTTTCGTGATCTATTTAAATATTGAAACAACAGAAGAATTCTCCAATAGCTTTAGTCTGTCTTTTCCTATTTAAAATTTTTTTTTGTTTTTTTTTTTGTTTTAATTTGCAGTCCTCGAGCATCCACAGTAGGTCGACCTAACGGGGGCCTAAGGGTTCAACAACAAGCTTTGCCATATACTGGAAACCCTACTCCGGCGCCTCAGCCAAATAAAAATTCTGTGTTAGACAAGTTCAAGCTCTTCAACAACAAGGAGAAGAATCAAGAGCGCGGAAAAGCTTCTTCGGGAGTTTCAAAACGCACTTCGAGTTCATCTGGATTCTCTTCAGCTCGATCTGAACACTCGGACAGTTCAACGTCCCTGTGCGATCAAAGCAAAGCGCAAGCTCAGGAATCACCGAAGAGTCGCGCGCTGAAATCGAAACTGCAGTCGGCCAAACCGGCAAAGCAAGCAAGCCCAAAGTCAAGCAGGAAGGAGCAAAGCAAAGCTCAAAGTAAGATCGCGCGTACGAGCAAAGGCCCACTAAGTTCCTCGGAAAAGCTAACAATGCCCTATAATAATCCGGTCGTGGAGCAAGATGGAAAGATTGCCAGTAAAGTGATGGCTACGAAATTACCAAACGATAAGAAAACACCGAATCTTCAAGAACTGGTAAAGCAACCGGTGGCACAGTCACCAAAGACGAGTCTTCCAGCCCTGACACCGCCTAGACAAATCAATCCCCAAGATATCAAGAATGTGAATTTGAAGAATGAACTTCCTACGACAAAACTTTCGCCCAGACCCAAGATGGAGCTCCCAGGCAAGATACCGGATCAGAAAATTCATCTGCAAAATGTGAAATCGCCGCCAAACGGTTTGAACAAGGATCTATTGATGCAAAAGACCATCTTGGCGAATACCAACGGCATCATCAAGACGTCTGAAACGGTAGAAATGCTTACCCGCGAAAATGACGTCTTTAATCGCACCTTAAGCATGAATCAAGCCAATTTATCGGACTGCAAGGATTTCATGTCAAAGCAGAAAGAACCGGAAGTTTTGGAAGAGCAATCGGAGATGGAAAGTTTCGATTCACCATCAAAAACTCTCGAATCAAACCAGGCCAAAGTTATTTGCGAAGAAGAAGTCGAATCTGCTGACATTTCCAACGAAAAACAGGATTCTTTGACTGATCATATAGATCCAGTAGCTGATGAGAAGCCAGCTAATACTGAAGATGAATCTACAAGTCTTCCCGCGCAGAGTAATCTAAACTTTGGGCCTAGTAAACTGTTAACGGGCTCGAATAGTCCTCTTCAGGGTCCGAATTTGGCCAATCCTGGCCTCAGTCCGAGTTCTAGCATCCCAAAACCTACCGCTCTCGTGAAGGGTACATCGAAACCGTCGAAGGAGAATGGCTTGAGTGGTGGTGTACCAACGCCGACGAAGCCGAAGAGCGGCGACACTCTTCATCGCAAACTTGATCCTAATACAGTTGCGATGGTGTCGCCGATGCCGAGTATCTCGGACCTCATGTCTGAAAGCTCGCACAGCAATTCTAACAGTACCGGGCAAAGTAATTCGAGCGACAGTAGTGTGATTTATAGACCGAGCAGCGAGAGTGGCAGTGAGATCAAAACAATTCCTAATCGGAAGATCGACACTACATTCGAGCAATTGGAGAAGGTTAGTATTTTTTAATAATTTTATAATTAATAATTATAATAATAGCTAATCACATGTAACAACTCGAAATTTAAATTGATGTTTATTCTAGGAAAAAAATTATGTTCTTTTTTAATATCATTTTTAATGCATTAATTACAACTGTAACATGGAATCTTCATTTTTCTCAAATTATATAGAATTGTAATTTTTCTAAATTAAAAAGATATCATAAATTGTTTTTATATCCGATGCTATTCAAAAGAAAATTAAATGCAAAATTTGACGGATCTTAAACATGATTATAAAAAATAAAAAATTACGTGTCGAAAAAATACTTACTTTTATATTTCCATAAAGGTGCTGTCGGAGAGCTCAACATGCGGCGGTACGCTGGCAGATGATGAGGCTGAGATGACGGTAAAACCTATGCAGCCTCTTCTGCGCGGTTACACCCCCGGGGCCCGGGGCCTGCAGACCCTTCCGAGTCGCACGACGGGCCGACAATATACCGTTCTACACTCGTCGTCGCATCATCATGTCAGTGGTCATCACGACTACGCAGACGTAGACGTCGCTTCCGGTTATCTGAGTGACGGCGAAGTGTTGCGTGGAGGTGGCATGAACGTTGGCAGCAGAACCCTGTCGGATTTGTGCGACGGATACATGTCCGAGGGTGGCGCGTCTCTATATGCACGCAGACTCAATCCTTCCTACAATCATGAGCATGACAGGTAAGTTTCTATTTTTTTTTAGACGCATATTGTGTTATTTTAGTTGCAATTCTCGCCAATCAATTTCTAATTAATTAAATTTTTTTGCGATTTAATGAATGAATTATAGCATCATTAGTTAAAGAATTGCATGAAATAAAATACGTCTTGCTAAGAGGAAATCGACGATAAATCGAGTCAACAAAAAGGGATCGGAGAAGCTTTTTCGCGATTGAACTTTGCATATCAACGTCGGGCACGCGAACGATTCGCGACACGCGTCGCAAAAGTTTTGCTGAATCGCCAACCGGATAGATCATTTTTTATCGAATGAAATATGGATGAGAGAAAGGTGCGAAGGCGCAATGCTTGCGCACGCGAGAGAACGGCGATAAATTAGCGCCGCGTGGGCGACGCCGAGCGCGCGTCGAGTATTGATCAAGAAAGCTCGGGTCTATGCCTGTCGCGAACGCTTTTCGATGAAAAACCCGCATCATTCCCGCCAAGTTTTACGCATCTCGCGTAACCTTCGATAAGCCATCATTGATTCTTCATTCGAATCATCGTTGAAATAAATAGAAAACCTTCGCTTCGTCATTTCGCACCATTTAATTGAAAAAAAACTCGTTTTAGACAGATATTAATTAGAAATTAAAATAAATTTAAAATTCACAATAATAATTTAATTGAAAAGATGATTTTATTTTATTTAATTCTACGATAAGAAAACGACTAACAATAGTGGCTAAGGATTATGGCTATCTGTTTTGGAATGCATCTACCAGAGAAGCGCTTTCTATTTTAGACAACGTTTAGATATTGTCCGACACACAAAGTGGATTCGCGTCGTGATTCGTTCATTATGCTTCATCATGCCCCTGTGCCTCTCTCCGTTCTTGCAATGAAATACACACGACCAACCGAGGAAGAGAGAGAGAGAATGCTTTATTATTAGCTCTGACCTACGTATATTCAAATTAAGATTTTAAGTAGCGAGCCAAATTCATTGGAGAAACGCGAAGGCGAAGCGTATACACGTTCTTTGCCCTTTTTATATCGATCACCCTGGAATTTGTAGTCTCTTTCGTGTGTTACGCCAATCTTTTTTGTACTATTTATTATACGACGATTAATATTCCGATCGAGTCTGCGATACAAGTCAAGAATTTACTAGCCACCGAAATTTGCGCACGAAAAAGTATAAATAATTTTTCCTTTCTTTATGTATAATAAGATTTTTAATTCTTTCAACATGTGTATCTTTTAAGCTAAATTCGAAAAATGTTCATACTTGGTTCGATGACGAAAAAAAGCTTATATAGTATATCACCTGCGATAATCTATTCAGACCGTTTCGCACGCATGTCGGACGAGTGAATCATATACAAGACTCGCGAGAAAGACGCTTCTGCCGGATAGTCTGACTACGTAGTCTTTAATTATGCAAAATTCATGAGGCTATTTCCGGAGATGCGTCCAATTACTCAGCACCGCGTAGACTGCTTTTACGGCGATCGAATAAAAGCGCGGCCGGTCATTCGATTAATTCACGAAAACTTACTGCAAACATTTATCACGATCCTCCGATCGAGTTAAAGTTCTTGTAAGTCACGGAATTTCCAGTAAAAATTAAATCTTCAAACCGATAAAAAAGAGAAGTAAAAAAATATCGTATTTTTATCTCGATATACTAAAGATTAACTATAATACTGAAATTTAAATGACTATTGTTCGACATTATTTTAATTCCTACACAGAGAGAATTTTCTCTTACAATTAGAATTCACCCTACAAATCATGCATCAATCTTATTATCGTAGATATTAATACTTTTCATTATAGTAAATATTAATCAGAGAAATTCTTATGAAATTCTTCCAATACCATATTGTCCCATAATTATCATAATTTTCATAGTAAATTCTATGAGGAAATTCTCTCTGTGTAATTTTTAAATAATCGAGATCATTCAGATGTGTATGTATATATAATAAAAACATATATTTTTTTAAAATTAAAATTATAATAAAGATTAACTTTCTCTCTTTATAGGGACAATTGACTTAGTCATCGCGTTTTATCGACGTTCTACTTACGTGATACGTATAATTTGACTTTCAAGGGCATATCCGATGATTAAGAAAGATTTCTTCTCTCGGGTCATATCACGTTTTATGGGATATTGTTTGGCATAACGTGGTCCGGAAACGCGCCGGAGGGCACGGCGTGGACCCCTTCGCCTAACTCGCTTTGGCATAATCGAGGTTGCGCGCGTATCATCCGCTTGAAACCCGACGCGCTTTTCGGAAATTCAATATACTCAGCCAAGAGACCCTTCTGCGACCCCTCATCGCCATCGCGTTAAGGGAAACCCCGTCGAACCTTCAACAAAGACTCTCGGCATATTTCGACGATTACCGCGGACTTACGAAAGTATTCTTCCTTGGACGTTAAGAGAGAGAAAGCCCGGCTAAATATATTTAAAAATATATAAACGCATCTATATATGTATATATTATTCATCCGATGATCCAAAAAGATCGTATTCGATATGTTTTTATGTATTTTTGTAGCGTAGCTTTCTTCCTTATGATAAGTATCATGTGGCTGACTCAAGATAGACTTTTATCACTTATTAATTTTTAAGTATACCTATATACCGGATCTTGAAATATCTATTTTTTATTTTTATATTGAATATTTCTGCTTTAATTAATCTTAAGAAAGTTACCTTCTCACTCAAATAATTGTTATAGAATAATGTAAAATTTTGATTTTATTTTATTACATCAAGATAGGTCATACTTGGCGTCGATATCGCATGATTATATATCGCTAATTGATGGCACTTTCGGTTGTATCTTTCGAAGCAGGAGTAATACGTTTCCGCATTTAAGAGGAACGATATACGTGCATTTAGATTCTCATATGCCGAAGCGAGAAATCAATTTACCGTACAAGAAGAAGGCGACCATTCGCACGTTCAATGGTGAACGAAGCTGCGTTATGTGTACTGTACGCAGAGAGATAAGCGCCTTGTGTCCCTTATAACAACAGTCTCTCTCTCTCTCTCTCTCTCTCTCTCTCTCTCTCTCTCTCTCTCTCTCTCTCTCTTCATTGTCAGCATTGTCTTCTCTCTCTCTCTTTGGCCAGGATTCGCACACGATGTGTCTCTTTTCCTCACCCTCGTACCATTCTGACGAGATGAGGATGCTGCCGTGCATCTCTTTGGCGCATCTCATTGCACGACCGCTTGGCACGTGCACTAGATAGACATTATCTAAAAGTGTTATATATATTTATATAAGTTATATAAGTAGGATGTTCATTGTGTGCGTGTCGAGTGTTCGGGATAGATAAGAAAAATAGTTTTTGAATAAAAAAAAATAATTATTTGAAAAACATTTTATTATTTTGAAAAGTACACTAGAATGAAATTTATTGAATTCAAATAAATGTTTATTTCAATACTTCTTTATAAATCATTTATTTGAAACTAATAATATGGATTTGATACGAAAAGATTTTTTTGATGTAAGAAAATCTTTTTTCAAAACAGATAAATGTACATTTGTTTCAAATAAATGTTTTATAAAGCAGTATTAAAATAAATAGTATTTATTGATTTAATAATTTTTTTCAATGTATTAATTTCAAAACTTTTTTAATATTAAATATACGTGTAGGTGTATATAATTTTTATTTTAAAAAAATTGTTTTTAGAAATTCACTAAATCTTTTTTACATGTTTATAATGAGATAAAAAATATATTATCTGTAAAATCTAAATTATTCAAGTGAATAAGTTAGGAGATAAATTAAAGCTCTAATTAAGAATACTAAAAATTGAGTGCAATAATAACTCAAGTTTGTAATTTATTAGATCCAATATATGCACTTAATACGATTTTATATTTAAATTTATTGAAAAGTTAATTATATTTAAAATTATGTTTACATACATAAACACAAAACCTGAGCTTTTTAAATAAGATTCAAAATTTGAAGCAATTATTTGTACAAGCAAATTAATAATAACTTGTTTATAATTGTTTTTCTTTGTATTCTCTTGAGACATATTTATATCTTTTTATACATTTCGTACTTAGATACTCTTAATTATAACGATATACACATGTATATACACATGACGATATACATATGTATATATATATATTTTTATATATATGAATATGCTATGCGATAAATGAATTAACTTTTATTTTTGTTGCTCAAAGGACAACAGCTCGAGTCGGTTGACAACGTACAAGCTACTTCGATGAACAGCATCCCAGTCAAGGAGTTCCAGAAATCTTATGACGCATGGAAATCGCGTTGGCAAAAATGTATTGACGCAGAAGGGTCATACTTCGAACAATTTTAAGTTGTTTTACCTATGCGATCAATAAATTCTTTTTTAAAAATGCGACGCATTACTTTCCGGACAAACCCTGTACATATATATATATATATATATATATGCATGTAATATAATATTATTTTTTGTTGAGGTTTATTAAATATAAAGTTAAAATAGAAATCTTACAAAATCCGAATTTGATTTAAAATTTGGCGCTTGTATAAAAAAAGAAAATAAATTTATCCATGTAGAAAAAACACTTTGTAGAACATTGCAAACTCTCGTTTTGAACATTTACCTTTTGTTGGGTCGACCGTAAAAATTCATGTAATTGAAAGCTCTCTGCAGGATGCAAGATCTATTCATCTAGATGAAAATCCCGGTAGGAAAAGAGAGATGACATTATATTCGCGGCGCAGCAGCCGCGACGCTTGCGTGGACGCGGTGACGTCACGACGATCGATTCGGCGGCGCGACGCGGTGGCGCGATCTACCGGCGCCGGCGCGTTATTATGGGGCGATTTGAGGGAGCATCGCGACCGGGGGTTGCTTTTTCCGACGACGAGGCAGAAGAGTAGATGCCGAGCCAGCGAGGGTGGGGAGTGTGATATCGTCTTCCTCGACATCGTCGTTCTCTCATCGTCCTCGAAAAGAGGCAAAGTTATTCCGGATCGGTAATAGTTTCCGCCCGATTTCATTCTCGGTGATGCCTTCGCTTCACCGGTCATTTCTCTCCGGTTTTCGGTGTGACAGTGTCCCGAGTATAAAGTGAGGGTGGAAGACTCGAAAAGGTGTCCAGAAATCGCTAGAAGAAACGCAGCGGCCCGAGCTGAACGGTAATCTTGTACAATCTTATTTGTCTTTGGAACTTTTTGTTAATTCCTTTAGATGTTGGTTGATGAATATCATGAATACAGCCTGCGAATGGCGGAAAAGTTCGAAGACGAAAGGGAAAGTCTGGCAAAACCTAACTGTTCTCTTGGTATATTCAATGTTTAGTTTTGAAATATAAAATATACCACTCGCGGTTTCTTCAACAAAAATTTATTATCGTCCACTTTTTAGGAAGAAAGACAAAATTTTAATTCCATCGTCATTAAGTAATCTACAATATATGACAATTTTTAACCTCGCCTTTGTCTTGATATTCTTTATTATGAGTAATTTTTTTATACTTTAAATATAATTTCTTTTAAGTATAATGTATATAATTTTCATTTTATCTTTATATATAATATATGTGAAAATTATTTTATTATGATATTATACCATTGTTAATAGAATAGTAACTTTATGAAAAGTTGCTCCAAATTTGAGAGAGAGAGAATTTATTCAAAGACACATATTGACAATGTAATAAGTAAGAGCCAAAAAATTTTTATATCCTTTCGGAAAGAGAAATCATCTAGCATTTATCGAATCCTAAATTTCAAACTAATTAATTTTAAATTAATTTACTCTCAATTTTTTTTAGATTTAAAATAATTTGATGAAATATGCATGAACTTTTTTTTAATAAGATATCCAAGTTTTAATATATATTATCTAAATTTTTCTTTAATTATTATAACTATGTCGTCTTTTTACGAGACACTAACAGGTTCCTAGAAAATTCATTTATAAATTTTGCAATAACTCTCTAAATTCGCACGAGCTCTTCAAAAGATAGTTTTTCCGTCTTCCTCTTCTTCCTACCTTTTTTTTTTTTTTTTGAGTTTTGTCACAATGCAAGACAGCGAGTATCGCTTTCCAAAGTTAAATTTAAAGTTAGAACTTGATGAAGTTCGTATTCGTCGCGATATCCAAAAGTTATACTTTGCCAGAGATGCTCGACAGATCCCTTGTTAGCAATTTATATCGGTAAATTTAATACGTTAAGACTTAAGTAATGGAAAATTGACAGTAAAGAATTTAACTTAATCTTTAGAAAATTATATCTTTCTTTTTATTATTAGTAGAGGGAAGAGAGAGAAAACAAAAAGTACAATAAATTACAAGTGTATGGAGTGTTCTAAAAAAGTAAGAGACTTTGTTCTCACATTTGCAGATAGTTCTTGCGAAATTTTCGTCGGATTTCCTTCGTGTTTTCCGCTATGTAACAACTTTTTAATTATCGACGCTAATTGTGTTCGTAATCAAGAAGTTTTGCGAGTAACGAGTTTAAGAAATGACATTCGAAGTTTCCGCACGCTGTTCAAGTTTCTTGCGAGAACAAAGTTATCATGCGCCTGCTAGAAAGTTACCGTTCAATTCCGACGCCGGTCGAGCTTTCCGCAAATATTTAATCCAAACAAAGTGATCAATGAGTTCATAAATCACAAGATGCGAAAATCACAATCCGAAAGTTAATACAGTGGAAGGAAAAACATATTTTTCTATGCTGTTAGAAATAGAAAGTCCCATTTAATTTTCGATTTTTAAGGCATCATATTTCATTAATAATCTCGAATTAAAATCACAGTTTATTTCGTGCAAAATTTTAAGTCATCACAATTTAAATCAAATAAAAAATTTGCAATTTTTAATATATAATAGATATAGTAATGTAATATACGATTATAATTTAATTAAATTTATTTTTCCGATACATCAATCAATCGAAATAAAAATGTGAAAAATTTAATTCCGCAAATTTGCATGACTAGAATTTTATTTAATTAATTAGATGTGTGTGTAACAACACAATATGAAGGAAACAAGAAAGACAGAAGAAACTTTTTTCAGCCGTTAATTAAGTAGATTTCAGTAATTATGGGATGCGCGATAATGTCCGCATCCTCTTTTGCCTCCGCCGAAATTTCATTTGATCCTTTTTCTTCTCAAGATGTCGAGCTCATGAATCAGTTCAACCTCAACGTGGTACCGGAGTTAAGCACAATTTTTTTTACGAGGCGCATTAACCCGCTGTAAGGGCACTTAAAGTAACGACCGCCACCAAAAAAGGCACGACTGCGAAGATAAATTTACAAAACCAGGTTTAAAATTGTATGCAAAAGCTTTGTCGTAAATGTGTTTATTATTTCTTTTTTAATGCATTAGTATATCATTTAAATCTTTTCTCCATAACAAAACGAAGGGGTTTTGATGAAATTTAAATTTCATTTATCTAAATTAGTGTATGAATAAAAAATTATTTGATAAAATAAAGAAACTGTTGAGAATTTGATATGTTTATAATTATTTTTTTATTTATTATCATTCCTAATTACTCAAATTTAACACAATTAATTTATATTTGTTTTCTTCATATTGTACAATGTCTATAACATTCAAACAATATTGTGATAAAACATGATATCTCTATTGCGAGAAAATCTGATAAAGAAATGCGCGAAGAATATCTATATAGAATCAAAATATAAATAATTTTTGCGTGTAGCTTAAAAGCAACGGAATAACTTCCGGCTTTACTCGGCCGAAAGATTAATGATTATTATCGCCATGAATCAAATGTAGAGACATGTATCGTCTCTGCATCAATATGCGGACAATAACACGTTCGAAAAAATATTTACACACTTTATGCACCATAAATTCAATCGTTGAATAAAACTGTTGTATTTGCCTCTCGTCATCATGCTATCATGTATTTTTTTTTGCAAGCAAGCAAAAGTTGCTTCGACTACGTTAATCAATTCTTGTTTTTTTTCTAAAAAAATATTAGTATTTATTCATTATATTTTCTTTTCTTTCAGATATTGTAATTTAAATTTCATAATTGTCAATCTTAGATAATTATACGTATTATTTAATATTAGTATTGTATAATTTTAAGAAACTATCCTGTGACAGTGAATGCTTTTAAAAATGGACAATAAAATGTTATAATTATCTATATTAAATTAAACTTGAAGTAAACTTAAATTAATAATTATATGATAGAAGAGAAAAATAGGAAGTCACAAAATTTGTTCAGCAGTCATAAAGGAAACTATGTACAACTAATCTAAATAACTAATCACATACTTGAAATAATCATATTAATTTGTCACATTTTACAAATGTTATTATTTTTCGGATATGGCATGTGACAGTGAATACTTTTAAAAATGGACAATAAAATGTTATAATTATCTATATTAAATAAACTTGAAGTAAACTTAAATTAATAATTATATGATAGAAGAGAAAAGTAGGAAGTCACAAAATTTGTTCAGCAGTGATAAAGGAAACTATGTACAACTAATCTAAATAACTAACCACATACTTGAAATAATCATATAAATTTGTCACATTTTACAAATGTTATTATTTTCCGGATATGGCAATGATAGCGACACCTGATTTGATTCGCAGGTACGTGGGCAGCTCGCGACGAGAGCTGTCGGGGGTGAAGGAACTGGTGACCTCGAGGCGGGTGCAGAAGAGTAGGCCGTCGGGGGTCGCGAGGTCGGATGGCGGTTGCATCGGGAGCGTCAGTCTGGGAAGCGGCAGCGGTGGCGGCGGCGGCGGCGTCGTCGGCGGCGGCGTCGGCGGCGTCGTCGCCGGCGGTCTTCTAGGCGGCTGCAGCGGCGGGAACGACGCCTTGGCGGAGCTCACCATTGAGGAGCTGGCCTCCATTCCCGCCGGAAATCACACCTCCGCCAATCATACGGGACATCCCTCTCATCACAAGGTCAGTGAACCCAACACTCGAAATCGATACCGCGCTGTTTCAGTCAATGACGTTTCCGTCTCTTTCGATAGGGGAGAGAAACTTCATGCATATTTTAAAACAGCGTCTATTCTTATTTCTTTCCCATTTAACTCCATCCGACTGATCATCTGATTGCCGTTTGCTCACCAAGGTATCTTCTGCTAAGCAAAACAATTTTCGAAAAAGAAATCTTATAATGTTTTTTTAATCTAATTCTAATTTTTCCGATTTTGTGATCTTTCGATTAATTAATGCACCTTTTTAAATGTTTTTTTCCGCCTTAATACACGATTGAAATATTATTGGGGATGGTATTTGCTATTCGTGGTTGCACTAAAGACATAATTCAACAAGTCATTGACTCAGTGGTAACATGTTAGATGATTAAAGGGACTAATGATGACAGCCGTATCGAGTATATTCTCGATTATAGGACCATTGGTGCAACAATTGGCATATATGTATATGTGGCTCGTGGTTGGAAACGAGCCAATAATGGTATAGTGATAATTTCAATTTGAAAACGTTCCTGTCAGAATTACTATTTAATACAGTTTCATATAAATTCATGAAAACTGTGCTATTTCAATTGAACGAGAATATCTTTTTTAAACGAGGAGAAAATATTTTAATACAATTGAATATTTTAATATAATTTATTAACATGAAATTAAAAAATTTTCCAACATTTTTTATCTCTTGATTAAAGGAGTCATCTTTTTAAATGAGTCAAAAATTTGGTATCCAAAGCTCTATCGAATATGAATCGTTATTTCTTCCTTTGATTATATTTTTGAAGCAAAGTTTAATTTCATGCGACCGTGTTGATCAATTTCCTTTTTAATTAACGCTAAAATCAATGTAGAAAGCAAAGAGCGATGATGTATATGCACAAACACGATTCTACAAACCTATACAATCGAGCCACAAAGCGTGGAGCATGTGTGCGCGTCAGCTGTTGCATCGCGCAGCTGTCGTATATTGGGTACCCCATCAAAAATGACTTTCTGACTTACGACTCACTGTTTTTTTAAATTGCTCCGTTCTTCCGCATTCATATTTCCCATGCAATTTTTCTCTTCACAAAATCGGAATTATCAATCTTGAATTGGTAAACCAAAATTAACAACAAAAGACTACACAAGTACGATTATAAAAATCTATGCAGTTTTAAAAATATAATGACGAATCAAATTTAGAACGATTTCTATATTCAATTATATAATTTTTAATTTTTTCTTTAAATCATATGTAAAGCGAAGTATGGAGATACATTTTAATATGTTTAAATCTGAAAGTCTATTCCTCTAAATAGAGGTGAATAATAACAGATACGTTGCTCTTCGATCCTTCTTCAGATCCTCTTCTAATTATCTTCTTCTATTTATCTTATCGAAATGTTCTTTTGAATATTATCGGTTCTGGAAAAACAAATTTCGATTTCGTTCAGATCAATTCTTCTCCTCGAAATTATTTAAGATGATAATCTTTTCAAACTTTCTTATCGATATTTATCTGTTCTTATCATTTTGTCTTTTGTTCTTTCCGGTCCTCAAATTCCAAAGATCTGTGAAAATATACAAAGGACCCTCGCATCACGGTCGGCTCTTTTCCATTTCGAAAAATGTTTGATAAAATAAATGCGCACAGATAAAACAAAAGGAAAATGGAAACTAAAGTTTTAATATTTTTATTGTTAAATGTTCCCCATAATCTTTTAAACTTAAAATAATTTTCGTGAAAATACATATTTCAATGAAAAATAATAAAAAGTACCATGGATATTAAGTATACGTAAAATATATATAATATTAATTTCATTATTCTATTTTTCTCAATTATACGGTAGCATGCTTAAAAATTAGAATTATCACATTTTCAGATTAATATAAAAAATTTAATTAAAAAATGCATAATTCAAGAGAAAAAAAATGCGAAAAAAATTATTCGCGTTGCGAAAGTTATGTAACCGGATCTCACAGCAGATCGTTGTTGAATAGAATCTATATTTACCGTAAATGAAATAATAAATACTGCTGTTTCTCCTTTTAGTTCTCTTTGTTTCTCTTTTGAATGGAAAAAAGATTTTTCAGAAAAAAGCAACATTGATATTACAAAAATATAATATTTCAGGATTAAATAAGAACTTTTATATATTGTTTTAACTCTTTCTTATTTTGATTGTATGAAAATACGCTACGTTGAAAAGTTACTTATAACTTTATTAAAGAAAAGAGAAAAAAATTCAGACTGCATCTTTATATCGAAGTAAACGTTTCTGCGAGCTTCATTTAGCTCTTTTCGAAGAAAATTTCGCTTGCATTCTTTTAGAAATAATCGACTTTTGTTGAATTAATTCTTAATAGAGGTAGCCGGTGGATAATGAGCGTTTTCTTTTCCAAGATAGAGTGCACACGATAACTCTTTCTTCCGTTAAAAGCCGACCCATTAATTATCCATATGGAATCGTGCATTACTGCACGCTCGCAAATCGACCATTTTAATAGCTTTAAAGCTCATATCGACATAAACGTCCCTTTTAACGATGATTATTATAATGAAATAATAACTGCTGTCCCCTATATCCTCCTTGATTTCTTTTGATGGGCCACTTACCACAATTTAATTGCAATCTCGACAATCGCCGAGCCTGATGATAGTTGTTAATTAAATGTTTATGGCTGCAGAAAATATTAATTTATAAGGAAATTATATTTTTAAGCTGATTTTTATTTCGAAAGTTTAAAATAGACAAGCATTAATTTAGTTACATGTTTTCATTTCGAATCTCTAGTAAATATCAGCTTTATTTTTAATATACATTTTTCCTTACACTTATATATTATATATAATTATTTAATCGATGGAAATAGTATATAATAATGTGTATATACACAGTGTAAAAACTTTCTGAATTTTAAACCAACGAATTTCCAAATTTCAATGCGATGAAATTATAGTAAAAGGATTACGGCGAGAAGGGTGGCTTTTTCCTTCGAAGATGTCTTTACGTCGTTCCCAGGATACCTAATCCTCTTTCTCTCTCTAATCCGTTGGTCCTGAAGTATCGACTGGTCGCAAAAGGCCCATCTTAAACGAGAGCTATCGGTGTAACAACCCTTTTCGAACCCCTTCGAGATAAGGGAACGGGAACGTAGGAAACTCGGTTCCTACATGCTCTTCTTATCGCTGATCAAGGTAATGCTTCTCTTTTGTAGCCTTTCGGACGTAAATCAAGTCGATTAAATGGTGTTTTAGAGCAAACGAGAGAGCTCGCAGAAACTCCGCGCTTCTTGAAAGAAAACAAGAATTTTTAAACAATTTTACTCCAATATTATAATCTGACATTTTAATATTTTATTCTCTTTTTGAACGAAAAAAATAACTATTTTGGTTCACTATTTTGCAGGGTTGGATAATAATTAAAACGTATTATTTTTCAATTAAAGTATTATTAATTTTTATGTTTACTTGTCATCAATTGTAATTACCAAAAAATATATTTCTACATAAAAATCACAATTTCTTTGTTATGTTATTATAAATTTTAAAAGAATTAACAAACAAAATTCTAACTCAATATAAAAATTTGTAAAAATTAACTTTTGATTTAACCGAGTTAATTTTTGGTTAATTATGCAACTGTTAACTTAACTTTATAATCAACTAACTTATTGTTAGTTTAAAAAAACTAATGAACTTACTCGACCCTGCTATTTTGCAGCACTTGAAAAAACAAAGTAAAATATCAGAAAGAGAAAATGCAATTGGAGTCCGACAATGAACGTAAAGTCAACGTGACCATTGTACTCTTATCGTAAGTTGAATCGTTACTCTTGCGGCACCCTGTAGTGAGCGGGTGCAGTATTCGGGAGGGCGAGTATACATTCCCGTTAGTAATATTACACGGTGTGAGCGAGAAAAGTGGGGGACCAAGAGGGCTGGTGAGCTATGGATCGTCGACCCTCACAGTCGGCGGTTAACATTCGGACGCCTCGTACGTTACGTTCGGAACCGTGCCGAAGGTGTGGGGGTGATAAAGTGGTGCCCTTTATATTTTCCGGGCTGAAAATCGCGGTGAACATAAATTGTCTTAATTGGTGGAGTAATATCGAGTGTATCCTCATTAGAGTGGAAACGGTGTCGAGGGTAGTAAAGAACTACCTCTTAAATAAAGTGAAATGAAAAAGTCGAAACTAGTCTGAAGTAGAAGGTTTATCGCTGGATTAAACGTAATCCAATTAATGATTAAAAAATCGTGTGTGACGGAGAATTCATTTTTCCTCGACTTTGTTAATTAGACAATTTATAACTTATTCATTAATCGAATAAAATTTTTGAAACAAAGAGGAAATATTCCGAGAAAGATTGAGACACTTTTAAATTCAAAATACAAAGTAAAGCTTAATTCCAAATTTTTATTATTTAAAATATTGTGAAAGATTATTGTTGGCGACTGAAGGCTGTTGATGAAAATATTTCTAATTAGAGGAAACCACGTGACAGATCTTCGCCGGGTTTGTTGATTATTACAGCACAATCAGCTCCAATGCCAATTAGAATGTTTTACAATTACAATTGGAGTTTAATTCAAGAATAATGATTTATATTGAATCAATTAATTAGACAGTTTTTAATTTACACAGTTTGAATTAATTTGCGTAATAAAAAATGTTATAAAAAAGGAATAAAAGAAAAAGAATGTGAGTGAAATAATTAATAATAAATTAAAATTGTAATAGAGAAAGAGATTTGCCATGTGTGAAAAATAAGCCGATTTGCAAACTTTTTCACATAGAGGAGAAATAATTCATGGTGAGTAATTTCTGTAATTAAAAAGCAGTGGAATAATGAAATGAGTAGCAAAATTATATTATCGTTCAAACTTTGTTGGAAATGCTTTGTTGAGAAAATCCTAATTTTTAATTGTTTATATTCTCTCTGTGTCATATTAATTTTATATAAAATAATGATAGTAGAAATACCTGAGGTAATGTGCGGGTAGTATTTTTATATGAAATTTTCTATACCGAATATGTTATATGTTCGAAAATTGTCCTCGAGACGACCAATCGATATCATTCCAGTCGACATTCGAGGCGTCGTCGCCTTGCTGTGTTTTACGATCGTATATAAAAAATGGGTTGTGTCGAAGATTTCAAAAAATAAACCCCAGACTCTGTGCCGCGAAAGAGTCTCGGAAAAGCATCTACTCGGAAGAGAGGTGCGCCTGGTTTATTTGGACTCTCTGCACCCGGTTCGCGTACTTCAAAGGCACGCGAATGTTTGCTGTTTTCTGTCGACAAGGTTGATTGCGTCTAACGTGGGACGTACCGCCTTCGATATTGATAAAAAATAATAAATTTGGGAAATAAAATGAATTAAATAATGATGGAAGGAAGCAAAGTTCGCAGAGATGAGTAGGTAGCAGAAAAATCAAATCCAGAAAAAGTAAAATTAAAAAGTACATAAGATAAAACATAAATAATAAGATGATAAATGCAGAGATCAAGAAAGATTAAATATAGAAAGCAGAAAATAGGGGTGAAAATCGAAGATCAATGTGACACGAATACAATTGTTTGCGTTGCGAATCAAATGCGTTTAATTGAAACACATCACATGATACAGTAGGATGTAGTTGAAACTTTTTTTTTGTTATTTCTTTTAAATAAGGGAAAGCAATTTGATGTGGAAAAAAAGAATAAATTGATATGTGCGTGTTCCTTTGCAAAGACAGACTGGTAGAAAAAAAACGCGTTTGACCCGCGAATCCTTTGTCCCGCATTTATGGCCTTTCCATGCCCGTACGTTTACGATCCTTTCACCGTAAAAATCCAAAGAGCCTTCCTACTTGCACCCTGTGAGTCATTTTACACGAATTTACACGTAGGAAGATAGTGGAGTGGCATGTATCTTTATTTCGTCTTGATGATTTCAGAAATTGTTATCTACATTTTTAAAAAATAATTAAATAATATATGAAAAAAATGTGATTAAACTTTTCTTAAAAAAAGATTCTTATTAATCATCAATGATCTAACACTTACTTATATTCGTGCGTAGAATTTTTTTTTCTAGAAATAAGTTTGCATATTATTTTTGTCACGTAAGTGCTAAAATGTCGATATTGCTTTTATAATTATTTATTATAGACGTATCGCGTTCTATAAGGAAAATAGGATTATAAATAGAGTATCTAGAGAGGATGAGAGAATAGCACAGCGAAAATTTTTGCGTCCCGTTAATTTTAGCGGTGACGCCTATGTTCTGAATCATGCCACAAGGGTTCTAACTTGTAAGCTTGGAAATCGATATCTCTCTTATTATGAGTCTTTAACTGGTTACCCGGATGATGACAGTGACATCGATTTCATTTTAGATACTCGGTATTTTTAACAATTTATTGACAACAAATGTCGATAAAATACGTAAGATTAATAAATAAAAAGCAATCTCAGAATCGCTTTGTTGTATTGTAAATTTGTGTTTAATCTTTTGCAATATACATTTTTTTAAATATCACTCTATAGAAATATAATATATTAAAATTTACATTTTATTACTGAATATATTAAAATATATGACTTATATATGCGATTAACACATGCATTATCTCTATGGGAAACAGAGGGTGCCGGGCGGAGGGGGCGTGATTGTGGGGGGTGGCGGAGGTTCGGCCACCCCCCAAGGGGCGCAGCAAGGTAACAGTCACAACCTAGTGTACCGCGTGGTAGGTTCACGCGGTCATCCCGGCGGTCACCATCCGCATGTAAAGAAGTCCGACAGCTCGCAGCAAACCGAAAGCTCGGCCTTCAAGCACCAGCACCAACAGCAGCAGCAACAGCAGCAACAGCAGCAGCAGCAGCAGCAAGGTTCGAACAGTTCCAATAGCAGCTCCAACAGCCAGCAATGGAAGAAGTACATCGAGGCGGGTGCCGCAAGGGAGAGAGACAAGGAGGGCGCACCTCCCAGTCCTAGTCCCTCCAGAAGATCGCAGGTGAGGTTCTTGAAGAAATATTGAAATTTATTTTAATCTTCGATTCCATCGAATCCATAATCTTTTATTTTTATAGATAGATACTAAAATTGTTTGACTTCTTAATCTATCTTGTATTAATAGTTGAACAATGAACTCGATAATTTTATGAAAAAGATAGGGTTACAATAAGAATATTAATTTTCTTGATCCTATTACATATAATATGTATATTAATAACTTGAACAAAATGATTCAAATATATACAGGATAAGCATCGGAAGCAGGCCATGGCCGAATATGCGAATGGCGAGAAACCACAGAAAGTTTCGTCGGGTACGTCGACCAGTGGAAGTAGCAAGGTTCGCGGAGTACCGCAAAGTTTCGGCTATGTTAAAAGACACAGTGCGGGTACCAGTCCGAGTCCCAACGGCGTTCAAAATGGCAACAAGGACGCCACTAGGACGGCTCAAGTTAGCGCTGTGCCGAGGACCAAGGTAAACATTATTAATCTTTGTGAGTCACAGATTTCAAATCCTTGAAAAAATGATTTGCTTTCAAATAACTCAATTATGATTGTAAAATAAATATAAAATCGCGTTTATTAAATTAAGTATTTTTTAATTAGATATATTCAAATATTTGTGTTTTAATTTAAAACAGTCTCGATTTATTTCAAACTTAAGTTTGCTAACTCAAACAGAGTCGATTAAATTGAGTTCTCTGTCTCTTTGATGCAGGTTAAAGTGTCCGGCGGCACGCAAACGTGCACAACGGAATTGCAGGCCAACTCCTCAGCATCCAGCCAGGGCCATCACTATAAGAGCTACAGTCTCACCGGTCCCAGCGCTAGTCAACTATCTCAATCAGTCCGGGATCGTCTCATGTTGGGCTCTCAGAGTCTGCCAAAGCCTGGCAGTCCGGAATTCACCGCTCTTTTCGCGTCCGCTCATCATCGCGAAAGAGGAACTGGCGTTGGACCGGCAAGTACCTCGTTTTCACCTCGAGTACTGAAACCATCTGACGGTAGTCTCAGCGATACGTGCAGTAATTATGCGGCACCCGATCTTCAGGGTTATTACGGCACGCCCAACAGTCCCTATACTACTTCGTGGATGAGACACAGCAACACCTACACTCCCAGCGGACGATCTCAAGGTAATTTGACCTGAATTTTTTCAGACATTAAATTGAAAGAAATATTAAATTAATAAAATTTTTGGTCATTTTATATTTTTATTTTTTATAAATTATTTTAATTTTTTATCTACAATTTACAGTTTTATTTACAAGTTCTGTTCTTATTTTACAAAATGTGTATACAATTTTTTTGAACTTGAAACCATAATTTCTTTAGGAATGGGCTTGTGCGAGGCGGACAGCGTAGAATCATTAGGCTCGCATCGTGCGAGTTTAACACACGCCCGTCTCCTAATGCACCAAAGGGATTCTACAGGATCTCCGGCACCGCCCAGGTTAAACAGGAGCAACTCCATCAGGTGAGAATTTCTAACATCTTGTTTATTGGTTTCCATTTGCTCACGACTAATTCTTAAAGAGAAATCTTCTTTATATTTTATTTTAATGATAATAATATTATAAAAGATTCCAAATAATATATAACATTTAAAAACTTTACAAGCTTTGATAACTAAATATTCAGAGAAAGATATTTTTAACAATATATTAAACATATTAAAATAACATTTTTTTTAATTAAAAAATATATATATAATTAGGAACATTATATTTTTTTAATTTTTAATTGAACGTCGATCTTTGTGAGGGCTGATTTTAATTACGATCTGATTGCGATATGCATAATATTATAAGCATAGTATTAGTGCTATAGCATGTTTAGAGGATGCGAACGACTTCAGTATTCGATCAGTATTCGATCAGTTCTCGATCGACTAGTTTTTTCTCTTTTTCCGGCTCTCTTCTCTTACTCTTTAATTAATCAATCCAATCGTGAAATAACACAGGACAATTTAATTGACCGTTCTAGCCATCTGCGGGACAGGACATTCCCAAGGTAGTGCGATAGTACACACTCGACGAGCCCATTTTTTGCGCATAAGTATTAAAAAACAAAGTCGTAACACAAACACATACGCACTCGAGAATCGCTCTCACAAGCACCCGCGGATCTTTCAAGACTCAATTTCGATCGAATTGAATCCTTGGATTCGGAAATTTTTCGCAACGTATGTTATTAATAATCTTAAAATCTAAGAATAGAGTTTGAAAATTTCAAATTTAAAAAGTAACAAATAAATGGTTTTTGAAAAATTGAGAATTATAAAAATTTTAAAACCTTTGATACACGTCTCTTTTTATTTTATTGCTATAGAATGTAAAAGTTTAGCTTTAAAAATTTTACATTTTTGCCTCCTAGAATTTTTAAATTCTTTGAATTCTACAATCTAGGAGCCTAGATCTGAAATCTGCATGTTTCAAAAGTTTTGTGATTATAGATTTTAAAATATTTAAAATCTCTACAACAAAGAATCATAAATTCTAAAATCTTTGATTCTTTGTTAGAACCTTTGAATTCTTAGATTCTCCATATTTTCCGAAGACCACGAGATTCACTCTGTCACGCAAATGTATAATTCACCGAGTGTGCTCTACGTGTCTTCGATATATTGTGCTGATAGTTATTCCTGCGGCAGATTCGACGTTGCCTATTATGCCAAAGTCCAATCGTTCAGTCGTGTTGCTTGTGTAGTTGCATGCATGCGCGATGCTTCATCAATATTCTAGGCCGAGATTGAAAGCAGAATATATATATCTGCTGTGTATTTATTCATTATCTGCTGTATACTTGTTCATCATCGTTATATAAGAGCATATATTACATGACTTTTCATCAGAGTTATAATCATGTTTGATTAAGCGATATTTGAATATGAAAATGATGATGAATTCGAGTCGGAATATCAATGCAATGGATCTCGCTCGATTGCCGCGAAATTGAATATACGCGATACTACGGATTGTCTCAGGAAGTGGCCCTCGACTTCCTGTCAAGTGGAAATAAACTTATCTTTTAATTAGAGATTTTCTCTTTCTCTGGGATCGACTAATTGCGCGCACACTCGACTGGTAGACAAATGTATTCTCGTTATCGGGCTTAACCGAAACACTCGAACATCTCTTTTGCCGGTTTAAGCAACCCATGACTGATACTCTTGGTCTTTCACCGAGAGATGCTGTTATAAGCTTTTGCTTCCGAAACGTAATATAAATATCTTTTCAGAGAAAATTATTTTTAATTTGATTGTAATCTTAATTTTCTTTTTTATAATTTATTTATCAATGTTTTGTATTTTAATATAACTAATAATTTTATAAAATTTCTAAAAGTTTATCGAAGAATTATAAAAATTAAATATGAAGCAAAAATGAGAGAAATCTCTTAAAAATTTTATAAAAATAAGTTAATAAATTTGAAAGATGTAATCGTTAAATTAAAACGAAAAATAATTTACATAATATCAGATTTGAAAAATAAAAATGTTTCTTTAAAAAAAATAGCAAAAAAATTGATCAACAGTAAATTTCCAATAGTATAAAAAGATTTTCTTTCGAGCATCATGTTTTACAAGCACACTACAATTGTGTGTGCTTACAATATTAGTATTATATGTAGATATAATGATACATAAAATCCAAATAGAGGACGTTAATGAAAAGTAATAAAATTATAAAAGCAGTGTTAAATTACGATTTGAAATTAATACTTTAATAGAGAATCAAAAGCAAAGTTTCAATGTTGAAAATTGCAATATTAATTTTCCGATAATATCAATGATACGCAAAATTGCAGTATTAATTTTCCAATAATATTGGTTGAAGGCACTCCTTTCAACGCTGAGTGTATTCGATGTCGAGACTTTAACTTTGATATTAGCTAGGTAGTGGTAGTGATATCGATAAAATAGCCCGAGCTGTGTGTGAAAGGCGATCCTCTCTCGAAGTCTGGCTTGATAGGAGAGCATCATTTAAAGACGCCTCGAGGGGAATCTCTAGAGAACACGTTGCGCTTGTGTTTTCGCAGGTCTACAAAGAGCGAGAAGATGTACCCATCGATGTTGGCGCGCGGCAGTGGTGCTTCGTCGTCGGTGGGTGAAGAAGTCGGCATAGGTATGGGTGTCGGGGTGGAGCCGTATTACAGCGTTCCTGTGGGATCGGCGGGATGCACCGGCCAACACTGGTCCCAGCCAACGTCACCAACGCCGACGCACACTTCGCGACAACCGCCAAATTTGTACCAGCACGTCCACAAGGACGATGACAGTGAGTAAAAAAAGGAAAATGAACATTTAGAAAAGTTGATGTCACTTTTCAAGATTAATTTTCTACATTTTTTCTATGAAACATACTGTATGTTTGAAACAGGAATAGATCGATATTGCACCGAGTTCTTTCCTAACGAATCTTAAAGTAGATTCGAGTCCAAAGCTGATTATACGATGTTAATGGAAACAAACGGAATAGTTAAGTAGAGAAGTGAAAGTAGCAAAAGGAAACAATGCTCTTTGTAGTAAAAGGAAATAACAAAGAAAAAATAAGTTAATACAGGTTTAATGAAAAGACATTAAAGAGAATAGTAATTGCCAATGAAGAAAAAATAATAAGAATATATGTATTGTATAATTAATATATAATATAAAAAATATTTAGTAATAAGTATACCTATATAACAGCAAAGTGGAGCAAATTTGTCAAAGTTAGCACACTATAATTGAAATTAAATTTTTTAAGAAATTCTCATTTAGCAGAAAAAGAAAATCGTACAAACTAGCTCAAAGTAACGTAAAAATTGTTAAGAGTTGTGAAAGAAAGAAAAACTTTGAAAATTAATCTGAAAATTATTCTGTACAATTATATATATATAAGAATAACACATACACAATTAATATAACTTTTCAAAATTTAAAATCTTTATGTCAGATCGGATGAAAAAAGTAAAGTTTTCGAAATATCAATATTGATTCTAGACTGAAAGATGGGATCGCATAATTAATGCAATGCAGTAAGACAGAAATGTTGCATTTGTTTCAGTTCACGGCTCTTCGGTGTCGCTGGTGTCTACTGCGAGCAGTCTTTATAGTTCGGCCGAAGAGAAGCAGGCGCACGAATTGAGAAAATTGCGTCGCGAACTGTTGGACGCTCAGGAGAAGGTGCACTCGTTAACCAGTCAACTTTCTACAAACGTGAGTACCACACATACATATTATACGTACAATCGCGATCTTATTTTCGTGTCATTTGAATTTTATACACCGGGCTGTTAACAGTGCTAATTTCGCTCGTTATTTATTACCGCGATTGTTCGCCACGACGAGCATGATGATTAGCGCAAAACGATGTCGCTGCAATTGCGGATAGCGACTAATTAACACGACCGGATCTATCATTGCTGCCTAGCGGAGTGTCGTCGTACAGCAACTGGGCAAATTGGCGTAGATGATTAGTTATAATTAATCGACAATTAGAGCGGATCCACAAGCCACTATTCTCTAATGAGCTTCGAAATCCCTGTAACCTGTTGCAATGCTCTATATGGCGTACGATTATTTATCTATCTATCGAGATTGTCATTGTCCATATCGAGAATCTGCATTCACCAGGTTACACATGAATATAAATATTTTATATTCAGATAAAATTATTTTAATCTTATAGATTTCATTTATCTTTCTTAACTTATTTTTTTATATTTTTAATTTCTATAAAATTAAAAAAAAATGATTCAATGTGTAATTTTAAATATCTATTAATTTAAGAATTTAATTTTTAATCTTAATTTTTTAATTCAATTTTAATTTGATTTCTTATTATCATAACATATCACAACGCACGAAAATACTTGAAATATTTATTTCAAAAATTCAAGGAGGGGAAATGGACTTTTTGTATTAATATATGAGTTTTCTCATTTTATTATTAGTTTGAAATATTTATCCTTAACGAGAAAGACATTACATATATATTCGATATATTCTTTTTTAATATCGAATAATACCCGATATATCGAGCGAGCAAAAGTATCGATATGGACGAAACGTTTCGAAAAGCGCGCGCTGTGCAGCGCATTCGGTCCCGCGAATGCACCTGCAATCGACTGGTTGCGAGATCTCGACCAATAGGATCGAGCGTCGCGCGGGCCCGTAGCGAGTGTAGCTTGCTTCACGCTGTTCGCTCTCGCTGCTTCACGCGCTCAGTTGGCGTCGCGCAGTGCTCGAAGGCGTACGTGTATTTTCTGCATCGATCGTGATCTACGTGATTCGTCAATATTTTGTTCGCGATCGCGATGTGATAGTGTAATATGGTATTTAAAGTATCGTCGCTTGGTTTATTAACTCGTGAATGATTAAAATGACGACCTGGATCATCGAACAAGAGGATTAAAACGAAAAAGTAATTGTGAAACGAGATTCTCGTCTGGAGCTATCGAATCCGATGCATCCGGATATCTTCTGATACGTTATCTTGCACGTGTTATCTACACGATGATTCAAATTAAACATATCTATACGCCCGACTAGGATCTGTCTTTATCTTGTACTGCAGGCTAGTAGCATTTTAACAAGAACGTAAGAATAATATTGATTGACACGTGTAATACTCGAAGAGAGTTATTTATTTATCGCAAACTTACGAAATCAAGTGCTTAAAATTTATTAATGATATTATAATGATTAAGATAATGATAATAATATGAAAGTGAATCTTGCTTCACTATATTAAGTAAGTGACTCCTAAACTTATTGAATTTACTAATTTAATATTTCGATTAATAAATTATTTCTTATTAATTAATTTTGCAACAATAAAACTTTACGAAAGCAAATTACGAAAAAAATTACACGTAAACAATCAATCAATTAATCGATTAGAAACTTTATTATTTATTTTATATGTCGTACAGAATTTTTGATGCATTGTCAGCTATTAAGTTGCATCGTGAATGACTTTCACTTAAATTGAAAGCTAAAGATTAAAGTTAGAAAACTAAATCGAGATAAGATATACATCGATGAAATTTTCGATGAAAAAGTTACGTGGTATTCAATGTTTATTAACGGAGAACGTCAGATTTTCAGTTTGAAATTTCGCGTTACATTAAACTCACGGATTCGCATTTATCTCGCTAGATATATCACGATTCTCTAAGTATGCCACATTTCTCTCGCGCGTTACCCGTACAACACAGTAACCTCTTTGCCATCCTCGATATATCGAGGAAGTTTGCACGCGAGAAAATCGATTACTACAAAAATTTAAATTTTGTACACAAAAAGTTGTCAAATCTACCGCGTAACACAAAAAACAAATTATATGCTCCTTTCATCATTTATTTATTATGAAAGAAGGAAAATTAATTTTTGGTCAAGATTCTTTTATCGTAAAAAAATGCAAAGTTTTTTTGAATAATTTTTTTGAATTAATCAACGTCAATAGAAATTACTTAATAGAAGATCTTTCTAAACAAAAATGAGAAATAATTAATAATTTTGTTCCGTTATACTTTGACGCATTAAGATCTTAATGTTGGATAATAATGATGCGACCCCTCAGGTCGAGGTCGCAGGCTCGGGTTCATTGCACTCTTGGACGCGCGTATATATACATATATGGCAGAAATGGAGGGAATCCTAGAGAATCGTTCCTAGGAGTCGCGGATTTTTGCGCGATCGCCGGTTGTGCATCCTGCATTCCCGAAGCGTACACGTCGTCGAGTCTTCTCTTCTCTGTACATACATACATACGTCACTCCCTCAATCCCCGAAGAAATCTCGCGCGAGAACGTCGCACCCGTATATAGTTATTGACACCCTATATAAGGCGGGGTAAGTGCGCTCTCGTGTAGATGCAGGCTGCATCCGAGAATGCACGTGTTTTTGTATCTTTGTATTACTTTTTATATATCGAATTTAATCGGCAATTAAATGTAATAATTACAGGCTTATTTTAATTTCATTTCATTTTTTATTTCTTTATATATTGTGCACTCGTGCACTTATAATAGTGATATATAACGTAAAAAAATTCAATACGCTATAAAACATTCTCTCCTATTTTAGAATATTTTTATATTTTATATGATTTTAGTTGTGACTTAAACAAAATGTCCAATGTTATAGAGCTTTATATTAGATTTTATGTAACATTGATGTAACATCGGCGACGAGAGAGCGAATTGCGAATAAATAATCCTAGACCTCGTCACAAGAAGCCGATCGATCGAACGGTTAACTGATTAGCTACCGTGTACCGATATTATTTCTCCTTTCTTTGACGTATCGCATTGGCGCCAGAGTGAGAGTAGCATACAAACGAATCATAACACATACACACACACAATCTTGTCTAACACTCCGCACTCTAATTGTACGTTTAATTGCTCGTAGAACATAAATCGCCGCGAAACGCTCGACGGAGCGGAAAATCCACAGAACTCGCTCCGAAACGCGAATCCGTTCTTCGCGAGATTCGCCACTTTTCTCTTCTCTCACTACTCGATCGCTAATCGTCCAGATTTTTGCCCCGAACCGGCGCTAATAGCGCCGTAAACAGACGAGCCGCAAAAAAAAAGCGATATCGCGATTATCTCTCGACTTTATCGGAGGTAAAAAACGGTGAACCAGTCATTTCGCTGCATAAAGGTTTCAAACGATCGAGCTTTGTTTTTGCCAACTTTTAATTAATGCTTTCGCCGCGAATTCCTCAAACTATTTACAATATTTGATGTTATTGATATAGACATTTTTTAACTTTTCTCTCTTTTTATTTTAAATAATTTTTAATTAACAGAAGAATAACGAATTTTATATTGCAACAATATTTTATTTGTAAATTAAAAAGTTTTCTAACGCTCGTAATTTTTTTATATCGGATGTTGAGTTGATAAGTTCCAAATTTTGACAAATATATTTAGGAAAAACATTTTTATTTTAGAGAAATGTAAATTTACACATTTTTTTCGCATTAAAATAATTTCAATTCTAATTTCACAAGAACGTTGTTGCAATCAGACGTTTAAAAGAAACTCTAGACATTCTCCGGAAGCTGGGCAACAGGTAGCAAAACTTTGACTTGAGAAAAAATGACCATTCTGTGCCTCAAGGTATTTGAAAAGATGATTGGCCCCTTCATGGAAATTTAAAGCTACCGAGACACCGTGTTCACGATCGAGAATCACACGCTATAGTTCGGTTATAAATTTTTCAGCCTAATTTCTAATAATAGTCCATTCGTGATAGAACGGATATTTATCGCATCCGATGAACAATCGCGATCGATCGATCGCATTTACCGAGATTTATGACGAACACAGTCTTTCCATACGCTTTCATCGTTATTCGCCATATGTAATTTATATTATCGCTTATATTTCCTGTTGATAAAAAGAAAAGCAGCATAATTATACCATTTAGCTTAAATTTCGTCGTCGTAAAAAAATTTTGAAATTATAGACTCGCCAGCAGTTTACATTTCCTGTCTAGTAATACGATCTCGTTTCTTTAAGAGTTTTATTATTTATTTATTTGAAATGGCGTGTTTTCTTCATATTTGTGAATCCACAGCATCAAGTCGTAAGCTCAGAATGAGAGAAATGGGATACTTGAGATAATAGGACACTTGAGTGTCTGACATTTTTATGTGATTTCGTAATCTAAACAAAATAACCTTTTCGAGCGTCGACTAGAAAATTAATTTTTTAAAGAATATATAGTAATTAAAATTATTTTTTCCTCGATTTATTACAATATAGCATAAAAAAATTAAATAATGAAATATAAACAAGAGTCCTTTCATATTTAGTAAAAGTTTGAACTTTAATCAAATTCATTTTGTTTTATCAATTTATTCGAAAAAAAACAAATTACATAATCTTCATACAAAGGTTTGAGGCCAGACGTTATTTTTAGACGCAATCTTGAGATTACAAATTCGCTCGCCACAGAAAGAATGTCTCGTGCATCGTCCCATCATAAATACAGGATTTTATGGCTGAAAGTCGATGCTAAATTAGGGGGGGACAATATCCTGAATCACAAATTCCCGGGGACCTTCGTCCTTTCGACGAATCACCGTCGAGAATTTACGAAAGCGATTAGTGAATGGAATATTCGGGAAAGGAAACGGCAAAACGTAGAAGGATTCAATGCACGTCGTCGCCGTCGTCGTTGATCTTTGCGAGATATTG